TGGGTGACACTGCAACCAACAAATACTAAGGCGCGATATTCTACAAATTCCATCTTCAAAACTATGCAGTCTCAACGTGAAAAAGGAGCAAAACAGGAAGACGTAAGCGGAAATAGAGAAAAAGAAAAAAAGAACTGCGGCCAGTGCGCAACAACCCGCTGCGACGAAGCTGGTTTCATTCCACAGTGCGGATGTTGCCCGTAAAAATATTTAATTCCGAAGGTTAGATTTTCTTCTGTGCAAATCTCGAAAAGCGGTACAGCAGCAGCATTAAACTGACAGGAGCTCCTCCAGCTTCAACCCTGAAGCAATAGCTTATGCGCGACCTTCAGCTTGCAGGATTCAAGCAATTACAACGGCAGTCCTGGCATTGTTCGGCACTGAAAGAAGCCAGCAGCGAAAAACGCTGGTGAACACCGGTACTCGCAATCTTGTTACGCTTAGCCAGAAACTCCAGCTGCTGCCGTGATATATTTGGCTTACAAAATATAGTCAATTCACTTTACAGTATATTCTGCGAAGCGTTTTGAGACGTCTCGAAGACGTAATAAGGCACGATATCAAATGCAAGGATTATTATTATTATTATATCCAGTTTTTTTTTTAATTTGATTGCTCTGAATTATTGGCCGCACTCCTCAAAAGTATACACGGTGTCAAACACTGTGCTTCCCCCCCACCCCATCACCTTGCTAATTCCTCATAAAGCAAGTTTGACACTCAGACAGAGATTTTCTCGGAGAGACGAGAGGGAAATCTCGCAGGGCAGATTTATCTTGAGGCAATTGCACTGACAGCAGCCTCACCTTCAGTGCAAGGTAACCCGGGAAGCGAAAAAAACACAACATCACAAGGACACCTTTTCCTCTATACTTCTAGAGCGCAGGGCTCTGGCAGAGCATAGCAAGCAGCTTGCAGCCTCCACATCAAGCATGTGAAAATGTTTAACTGTTGCTGCACACGCTGTTGAATATTTCTTTCCTCCAGCCACCCCTCACCCTCACTCCAGTGTACCTGGACTTCTAATTGGAAGAGGTTCGAACGCTTTCAAGAAGCTCCCGATGGCCTAATGGGTAGTTGCATCCCTTTTCTCCCAAGAAACAAGACCTCAGCCCACAAAATATAGTCCATTAATTTTAGAGTATATTCCGTGAAGCGCTTTGAGACGTCTCGAAGATGTGATAAGGCGCTGTATCGAATTCAAGGATTATTATTATTATTCAGCTTCCAGAAAACAGCACGTTTGAATCTCAGAGGTTCTCACTTTGGAGCGCTAAAATAGCATTGGGCAGGGAAAAATTATTATTATGCTTATCCTGGTTTCCTGATCTGGAACGACTGCTGGAAAGTTGCTGTAAGGTTTCAATGTTTAAGTGTCTAACAAAGGGCTGGGTTAGCTGCTCCTCCACTTAGTCTCCCAACGATAACCATCTAGATGACATTTGACTAATGATCACTTAAGTGAGATAAACGGTGCCAGTGTGACTGAATACAAAGTTGAAATGCTTTGGGGAGGACGTAAGAGAAAGTTGGCAAAAATACTCTTGTAATATATTTAAAAAAAAGGTAATTCAAACCCACTGTTGTGTATTCTACCATTTGGTTTCACACCCATGTTGGTGAGGGCTACGCCCTGCCTCTCAAGCAGAGGATATTGCATGTTATGGGTCACCGGGAGAGGGAGGAAGCTTTTTCCCCCTTGAATATAAACCAAAACGGAACATAGATGGCTTTCATCGTAACAAAAGAAACTGATGGGTAAGGCATTCAACTTGATTTTATAAAACGAGCTAGCACAATTTGTGTGAACAAAAGCAAGGGAAATGCTTAAAATGTTTCTATTCAGTGCTTGAGAATGACCCTGACAAGACAAGTGAAACGCATTTCCTGTATTTACAAGCGCAGTATTACTGTACCCATCTCCATCAACAGCCCCAGACAATGGCCTTCACAATGGGCAAAGTGTTTAATTGACTGAGAACAAAAGGCTACAGTGAACCATTTCGCATCTCGCGGAACAGACCATCTGTAGTTGCAAACAACTTTAAAAGCAGGACAATGTGTTATTTAGTCATTTCTGCCGGAGGATGCTCAGGAAATCAGATTTCCGTTCAGTTTTTATCGCTTTCCGGATGGACGACGAGCAGGATTGATCGCAAGTGCCAAATACAAGCAACTCAGTCATTTCGTACCTTTGTGTTAACAGCTCAAGGTTAGGCCTATTCAGAAGTCACTGGAAAGGGATTAGGAGGAAAAACCCAGACTGATTTTTTTCTCCTCTCTTGCTCGCCCAGGGGCACCAAAGCCAATTGTAATGTCCTGTTGCCACCAAGCTGATAACCAATCCATTTAACAATGGATAACTACCACATGAATTGAAAAGAATGCTGACTGCTAAATTAAATGCGTTAACTTCTCCTGCCACACCCCCCCAGTGAGATGTGGCCGGCATTCCTAAATTGCTTTAAGGCCTGCGAGTCATTTCATAACATTTGTTTCATCTTCAAGACCCGAAGCTCTCATGTCCATTTGGCATTGGGTTTATGTTTGTAAACATCAAGGAAACAATTACAATTGTGTCACATTATAGGCACTGACAAAAATATGCCGCTTGTAATTTGGATTTCAGAGATGGATAAAGCAAATTAGTTATCTGCATTTGATGGTAATACCAGAGGAAGGGTTTGCACTGGACACAGTAAAGCCAATACAAATTAGGTGGACTTGAAAGATACAATAAAATGTGTTTATATTAATACATGGAAGCAAGGTAATAAATAATCCGTATGAGATATATAAAAGATAGCAAAATGCTCGCCAATGCAGAACTCCGGGATACAATCAATGAATAGGAGATGAAGGTGTGTGTGAGCAGAATATCTTGCAGACGCAAACACAGTCCCCAGTAAGATAACGATGTTATGCAGTGGCAGGGGGTAATTATCACAGAGGGATGATTAGTTATCGAAAACATCAGCAGAATTCTATGAATATGAGCCAATGAGTAATTTGGACAAAAGACAATTAGGATAAAAAAAGTAACGTCATAGCTTTGTCAAAGATAACAACTGACAGTAAATTTTTCAGGCAATTAGGATGCTGTAGGATATGTTAATGTTCTGTTCTTCCACTACTTGTCTCCTCCATAAAATTATTTTTGAAGACACGCAAAGTCTTTTTCTGTTATCCTGGTTTACATTTCCTTCCGAGTCAACATTTACCCTCAATTTTAAATTAATTGGCTGCTCATCATCATTGTTTATGGGACACTGCCATCTTAAAATTAGCTGCTTGTGTTCACTCCATTTCTAATCACCTCTACTTTGTAAAATAACAATAATTTGCCTCAAAGCTTTTTATCATGTCAAAGGGACCATATAAAGAGGTTATTTATTATGTATAAGACAGTGAAGCAGTAATTGCCAGGATAATTCCCAGTGGTGTGGAAAGTGCATTAGCTTGGACGTGTCTCAAGCAAGGTGTCAGATTGGCTCAGTTGGCAGCACTCTCACCTCCAGATTAGAAAGTTGTGCGTTGAAGCCCTACTTTGAGACTTTAGCCTGCAGTATAGACACGCACTTCAGTGTAGTACTAAAAAGCACTGCGTTGCTAGAAGTGCTACTCTTCAAATGAGAAGTTAATCATTTCACCCACAAAATACACAGTCAATTTACTTTACAGTATATGTTGTGAAGCGCTTTGAGACGTCTTGAAGACATGGTAAGGCGCTATATCAAATGCAAGGATTATTATTATTATTAATTCTATCTGTTCAGGATCATTTTAAAGATGCCATGGCTCTAATTGACAAAAGAAGTTTCTCCCATTGTCCAAGATTAAAATTCTCCAGATTAGTCATTCACCACATGGCTCTATATGCATAAAATGACTGGCATATTAGTCTACGCAAACAGTTGCTGCTTTTACTGTAAAGTGCTTTGAGATGTTTTGACATTTGGCACTACAAAAATGCCAAGTTGATTTCTTTGGGCGATAAATCTCGACTCCTTGGCAATAAATGCGTTTTGATAATTAATAGACCCACTTGTGGTTATTTTCAGGTTCTGTTGTACTCTACTGGAGGAAACATTTAAAATATCTTAGCAGATGAAAGAAGACAAAATGTAAGCTTTCAGAGAGGAAAAAAAACGTTATGCTTCTGAATTTTTAACAGGGTTCACAATGAACATTGCCAAATATGTTGTGGCGTTAATTATTGCTTTATGAGAGCATACTGATTCATGAGTTCATTTCACAGATTGACGTCAAAGACCATCGGTGAATGATTCCAGTAGTTTTTAATTGAAGCAGAGGGTAATGAAAGCAGTCGATAAAGTGTCATCTCGGAACCAGTTTCGCTAATTAACTCTCAGTGCATGCATTCCAGATTTTCGTTGTTGACACCTATCACAAACACAAGATTCTATATAAATAGGAACTATTTGTAGGTTTAATGGAATAAATCTGACTTGAAACATTCCAAATTCGAATTGATTAGAAATTAAAGTGAGGGTTTTGTCGGTTTTTTGGAGTTAGTTGGGTGTCGACTGATTACTTCTCTCATAAGGAGGATAAGTTGGGCATCAGATATCCAACATGACAAGCACAGGTTTGAGCCCTCATTAGGTGGATAGCAGCTACCTAAAGAGGTACTCTGTTGATCTTACGCTACAGTTAGCTGTCAAAAGCACGACCACAATCAGAAAGACTGGTCTCGATTGACTATGACAACTAGTTAGATTGCCGATTATCCACTCAGTTTTCACTGCCTGTTGTAACCCTGGTTAACAATGGACTACAGGGGAACGTGAAGCGTGCCCCAATAGCAGTGCTGGCTTACAGCGTGCACCTCCACCTGAAAAATACCTTACTCGGGATGAGGAAGTTTACAACCAGCACTAGAGCAGCTGCCACCATGTTCATTGATCCCAAACTTGATTTTATTTACTTATTTTTTTTAAATTTTTATTTATACCAAAAACCTTTATTTTACGACCTACCACTTTGCAGGTTGCGCTCCCTTTCACAATTCCCTTTCGCATTCTGAACGTAATGAGAAAGGCAGGGCCCACAGTGGCTCGATCCGGACGGACAAACTTCTCGCCGCTGAATTACGCATTCCAGGTGCTTAGGACATGGTTCAGCTGAGAGAAAGAGAGAGAGAGAGAGAGGTGAAAATGAGTAAAGCTAAGATTCAAAGTATACCCTGCACTGACACCACTCACATGGACAAGCCCAAGAGTGAGCCAAATGGAAAGAAAAGTTAATCCTCATCGGAGCAAAATGCTATGACTTCCTTCTTCTGCATCCCTTTACAAGATGGCATTTTGCAAAGATGATAGAGATCTAAACAATTGCTTTAGGTTTTCGGAGCAATTAGATTTAAGATATTATTTCAGTTTTCACTGTTTTTCAACCCTCCTCTTCCCCCCTCCCTCCGGGGAAAAAAAATCTAATTAGCATTGATGTATTTCTATCAATGGCATGTTAGGTAGAGGTCACCAATTCACACAAGGATGACATTTTGAAAGAAAAGCTGTGCAGAAACACAACAATCTACCCGTATTTTGACTTGCAAGTGCCATGCATGTCAAGTGTAATGCCTCCTGCAGCCTTCCGTATATTTTCTATACTGTAATTATACTGCATGACCCGGGATGCAACCGATCAATCCACAGCACGGTGGGCTACAGTATTTACAGAATGGCACTGAAAAATTACACATACACACACACACACACACACCACAAAAATACAGGATTTTTGTACGCAAGGTTAACCGTTCACAATGCAAAATGCACTCTGATGATTTACTGGATCATGATTACTTTGGAAACAGCAGCACAACCTTTAGCAGGATACAGGACAATGAGTCATGTGCCTGGAGCATTCAATTACAACGGGAACGGCCACTTTTCCGTACGTAGGGTTTGGAAGATTGTTCTCAAGTCATAGAACGAGATGAAACGATGATATATGGCTTCAGTGAATCTTCACTGTGCAGTGCTTTTTTGATCTGACATTAACTTCAACAGATGGCATTAAGAAGCCATAAAAACGAATGTCCTTCAAGATCGTGCAGAGTGTACTGGTGTCTCACAAGCGAGACTGCACGCTCATCCATGTTCTGCCTCGGGGCAAGAGTGCTACCAACTGAGCCAGGCTGAAAACTGCTATAGTTTAGTGCTACACTGACTTCTTAAACCTACCAATACACCAGAGGAAACCGAGATTTCCACATAGTTAACAACACAAACATCAACAACAATAACAACTTGCATTTATATAGCACTCCTCGGAGCAGTTAACAGTGGCGGAGCTCAACTACTAGCGACTCTGGCTTGGGAGTTATCAGAAATACTTGAACAACAGAAATACATAAAGGACCTGTCTGTCTTATTCAGTTATAGGTAGTAAAATTGCACCAGGAAATGTGGAACTGAGCCCACAAACTGGATGACCAGATCTGTACTGAGTTAATTGGTCTTTGGAAGGTGCCTCAACAACTCAAGTTAGAGTAACTGGGTTAGGGAGGGGGTTTTATGGCTTCTTAATAGCAACAGTCACTCGCTGGGTGGTAGTTAGTGACTGATACTGGAAATACCCCCAGATGGCTTTAAGTGAGGATATGATTGGGTTCGATTGAATAGGCCTCCAGAGTTCAACACTAATTCACTCTCGATTTTATTACTTTTCCGGCACAATAAGTCTCTACGGGTCATTGCGACCTCCTCTCGGTGCAAGTAGGACATGTTGGCTAACATTCTGCAAAGCTAATGTTTTTTCTATTCACTACCTTTTTGGCACAAGTTCGCATTGTATTGTGTTGACTTCTTAGTTGGGCAAATGGTTAGTGATATAAATCAAGGACAACTTTCTTAAAATCGTTTTTTTTTTAAGTGACTCATCCCCCTCCATTTGGGCTAATAATCCTAAGTGAAGAAGATGGCAAGCATCTGTACTCAACAATTTTCCTTTTCGTGCAGGTTAGAAAAGATGGTTTGGTGTTGAGAGGCAAACAAATCATAACAAGCTAAATGGAGTATGAAGAATGGAAATGTCACTAATGCATATTGGGAAACAGGATGGGTGGTGGGGGTTGAATATAACATCGTTCAAAGAAAGCTTCAACTGAGAAATTCCGTATCAAATATCTGCTACATTCATGAGTAGCTATCAAATGCCATCTTACCACCAGGTAAATTCCAGCACAAAAAAACCCATTTAAAAGCTTTGTCTGAGTAGGAACATTATATTGATTATATGGACAGCATACCAGCTACAACATGGTGCAAAAGCTCAGCAGAACAATAATAATAATCTTTGCTTTTTTTTAAAAGGATTATTACCTCTGGAAAAGCGACCCGCCAATCGACTGACAACCAGGTTCCTACTTACTGCTGCTAGGAGAACAGAGGCATGCGGAGTAAGGAAATTTGCCCAAAATTTTGCCATGCCCGGGAATCAAACCCAGGTCCTCTCGCTTGTGAGGTGAGTGCGCTAACCACTCAGCTACAGGACTCCATATACAGCCTGTATATGAGTGCTTTATCACATTGTCCAAAATGTTTCAAAGCACTTCAAAGGATTTATTGTAAAGTGTAGTATTTGTATGTATGGGCAAACAAGGGATTCAAATGGCTCTGAATAACGCGCATTGAGCCACGTGGGTTCATATTTTGCTCCAAGCTTCAGAACTGTCCAGTTATGTATTTGTTGCTTCTTCTTGCACAGTATACGAGGACATATACTTGCTTTGTTACGAGAAAATCCTATACTTATTTTCATGACGGCGTTTCTTTGGGTTCGAATAATACAGGGGAAAAAAATCAATCTCTCAAATCTCTTTGTTTTCAGAAAAAGGAAAAAGCCAGAACACAGCGTACACTAAACAGTTACAGAGCTTGCTAAGCTAAATTACAATTATTCCTTGAGGATACCTGGACAGAAATAGACAGCTTTATACTTAAGTTAATGGATATAGAGTAAATGTGGTGAAATGGTTTCTTTGACAACTCCTCACACGCTCATACAACAACAACAGCAAAATTACATTTATAGAGCGCCTTTCACGTCGGGAGGACATGAAATGCCCAATGTCCAATACAAATGTCCAATGTAATTCCATATATTTTGTTATGAGGGTTTTAATATTGCTCATAGTTCATGAAACAGGCAATGTTTTAATTCACATTATGCACGATTAAAAGTTCCGAATTTGCCTCCTCAGTGCTCGATCATCGTCCTAACCTCCCTCCACCAATCACACCACAAGTCATAAACTGACTGAGCAAATGATAACCTAAAGTAATCTCTCAGAAAAATAAAAAAGGAAGCGTATTGCTTTAATATAAAGCCCAGATGTGTTCCCCTTTCCCCCTCTCAAAAGGCACAGACCATTTCTGGGAGATGTTCTAATGGGGCTGAATGACCTCACCCAAGTATTGACGTACGGATTTGATCAAGAAGCCAGTCATAGCTGAGCACAATCCTGTTTGCAGTACACATGACCGCCATGAGGGGAACCACACAACAGAGAAAAGGAGTGAAAGACAGAAATGATTACACATCTGTGGCCTACAGGTAATGAAGCCAATTGGGCTGACAATTCAGCACAAATCTGAAATTAAACTTGTGGACTATTCCTTGGAATACCTACATGATTTGGTGCTCTGAGATGCTCCTCGCGTGAAGGGTGCTATTTGAATGCAAGATTCTCAAATCCAGCTACCTAAGCTACTTAGATGTCACTCCCTCTCATACCACATGGCTCACCTTCAAGACCAAGATCCAGGAAAACCTCTAAGAGAAGTGGTTGTCAAAATATATTGATAGTAGCCACTCTATTCTAAATTACAACTGTGATTTTAATGACCTCAATTCATTCTCAACAAGAATAAAGCAATGGTGTCTCTCAGATGCTATGTTGTAAACTGCCCATTGGTCCCCAATACTTAGAATATACAATTCTGGGTAAATTGATGAATTCTACACTTTGCCAAAACTGTACTGTTAATCTTCCCATTAATCACCAGCTTTAAAGGATGTTTGTAAAATCTAACTGTGAAGCCCAAGAGCTTCATCCTTAATCCTGCTCTATACAATTCCTGTCTTGACATAAAGCTTTTGAAGGGATTTTGTATATCTACAATACTCTTTCTGTGAGATTAATGCAATTCCAGACTGGCAATGACAATGGCAATGACCGAGCTCATGAAGACTGCTATCTTAAGATTTCAAGAAGCACAATAGCAATTCTACACCATAGTTCAGTAAAACACATCAAATTATTTCACTTTCGTATGCCACTGAAGGCCTAATCCTGCAAATCAATGCTATACAGTAAATGTAATGTTGGACAGGATTAGATTCAGCTCTGATGCTTCCCTCCTCCCAGTTCAACACCTTACAGATCTTCAACATCGACATGGTGGAATTACTGATACATGGAAACTTTGGAAAAAAGAAGAGGTCATTCATTTATTAGATCCCACTAAACCTTTCAAATCTCTCCCTCTCTTCTGCCAAGTCTCTAGCAACCAGATTCAGACTAAAAACAGTTTAAGCAGCTCTTCAGGAAGCTTAAATCAACGAAGCAAAAATAATCATGAGATAGAATGCATTATCGTTTGCACTTTCAGAAACCATCAGACATCACCAGGGGCAGCCAAGCTAGCCATAGCCTTGTACTGTATTGTCCTTCCTTTGCTTTGTTCATGTTGCAAGGATGACCTTTGTATTGGGCATTTACACAGGCTCGTCAGCAAATGTTAAAACATCTTGTGCATCATCGTCTTCCTGTGACGAGGGATTATGGTCTGAATGGCAATAGTCAGAGTTCGGATGACTTTGTATGCCTGCAAGTCCTGATGATTCAAAAACAAAGAGGGAATAAAAACAGGCATCGGGAATTTGGGATATGCATAGTTAACAGACATTCTCATGACACTTGGTCTTTAGGTATTAATTAAGGGTTGGGGAAATTTTTAAATTTTTCTGACATCTTAATGTTATTTTCAGAATACCAAGAATGTGAGCAAATCACAATCAATATAAAAGGCAGGGCAAAAACGTGAAGGTTCCCTGTATATCATATGAAAATGATGATCAAAATATCCCATTCACATCTGTAAAAAAAAAGTTG